AAAATATATATATATATTTATTTTTTTTAAGTTAAAGATTTATAATTAAAGTTAAGAATTCGATGAAGAGGATATTGAATCTCTATTAAAATAAGTAGGAAATTTATAAAATATCAAGAGAAATCTAGAGGACGTAAAGTGTTGAAAAGTTTAAAGGCATCTACTCTAAAGTGCCTACATCGAGTGTGATCTTATGACTATAAAATCTAGATTAGATCTCTTAAATACACAGCCATTTCTCAACATTTATCAACATGTGATCGAAAAAGCGAACGATTAATGTAGCATACTGGGAACAAGATGACTTTTGCAAGCTTTTACAGTTGATTATCATCCACAAGAAATAAGAATTAAATCTCACACGCACACCTCATACACACATACACGCACATATTTTTTTCAAAAAAAAAAAAAAAAAAAAAATTATTAGGAAATCGTGCACTTTCGGATATCGTAATGTTTAAAGCAAATAAAACTTAAAACTTTTTTTAATTGCCTATTTTTTTACGACCGATAACTGGCGAGAAAATGAAAAAAGGTTTTTAAGTGTTGTTTGCTAAATATTATGATATCCGTAAGTGTACAATTTCCTAATAAATATTTAAATCCGCAATTTAGATAATCGTTTATAAAGCATAATGTGAAGAATTTTTAAACATTCCTCTGAAAAATAATATCGCGCTGTAAAAACGTGCTGCATTACAATTTTATCTTTGATACAAATGAGTATTATACTACAGAATATAGGCATCGATAAAGCGATATGTAGGCATACATGATGTTGAATCAACATTTTTGTCCAATGACATTTTCGTGTATTCAATGATACGCAATTATTATCTTTTTTCTTTTACCGAAAATCAGCTAAATGTATATTGCAAAACGTATTATAATTTACTCGTTTAAAAAATTCCTCTCGTACAGAATACGTTACTGTGCTCTTCTATATAATTACTATGGCGTTATTTATCACGAGATTTACGCGTCCGAAGTTACTACGGTAGATAATAATTTTAGTACAAATTAATATATTCGGGCATCGCGCCGCAAGTATTCGCCGGCCTTAAAGATAAAAAAGATTAAATAAACGCTTTAGCTTAAAGTGTCTCCATGAGAGATAGAGGGAGATCCTTTTTATAAATATTACTACGTCATTAAACTACGTAATATACAGTTCCAGCCCTGCTCCAGCTGTTGGTAAAGAGCTTTGTGCTATTTATAATCATGTGCAACTGCTTCATTTGCATCACCTATCTTTCTTGGCGCGAATAATGCGATTCTCTGTAACATCCACTTGTTGTGTACTGAAAATCAATATTTTTTCCCCTATCGTTTCGCTAGACTCGTAACAAATCAAATGCCTGATCGCCTAATTGCGGCAATTTCGCCATAATTTTTACACCGCTTAGACGATAAATCAATAGCATTGACGTAATGCACTGACGTTATTGAAACAATAGCTCGCAAGATTTCAGGGAACATATGTGTTATAGAGAATCTCATTAATAAGTACTATACGTATATCTCTTACAATAATTGATAATCATATAAATTATGCTTGAGTAGATATTTAGTAACGTTTCTGCGACGTACCTATGTAGGTCTCGTTTACTAAGCAGGAGCTGGTGAATGTATCGAATCGTCCCATAAGAATCGAAAACACAAAGCGATTTGCATAGAATAACCTGTACAATAAAGGTAGCGGATAGTATGGTAGTGGATGGTGGATGTATTGTCTGTTCACTACGCATCAGCCAGGCAACTGAACGCTTTTTATATGTACACCGGAGACTCTTGGCCGGTCAACAGCCTAAACATCGATGTGGGCATTGTTTTCATCAAAATCTAGAAAAAAAAATCCTTTTATTCTTATACATTTAATCATAATTTCTAATATTGTTCTTTCAAATAAAAAACACACATTAAAAGCCATATTTCAGTTTTACGCGCTTACATACCTCTCCCACTGACGTAGCCAGAAGATTAACAATCTTTTCGTGCGGTACAGCAACAACACTCTGATTATTGATTTCAATTATCCTATGGCCCACTCGTACTCCGCCCCGCTCGGCGATACCACCTCTCAATAGACTACATATCACTCCGTTCTGTACACTAAATCCTAATTGATATTTCGTATCGGGTCTCTTGATTTTCACTTCGACTACAGGTGCACACGGCACGACAGTTAGCTTGACGACCGTTTGATTCTTTGAGTTTTTTATGTAAGTCTGACACGTGGACAAAGGCAAGCCAACTAACGATACGCCGTTAATCGCTATTATCTGATCGCCGATGTTAAGTTGACCGCAACGTGCGGCGGCACCGGCCGGTGCCAAATTTGCTATGACTACGGTTGGCAGCATCGAGCCCCATCCGGACTCAACGATCACAACACCGAGGATCTCTCCCTTTGCTTTCGGTACCACTACCTGCAAAGCAGAGATATTCTTTACTCTATTACAATTATGAAATTTTCTTTAAGTCGATCGCGATAATTAACATTTTACATCTCTTGGAAGTTGGGAAAATTAATTCAATTTGGAGAATTCATGAGAAACTGATACTTCCAACAAGTTCGCGGCTAGTCGACAAGAAAGTATCTTTCTTGTACAGCTTCTCTGGGCCGCTATGTACTGTAGACATTATTAGTTATTCTTTTCGAATTGAAATGGAAAGGATAATACAATCATATTTCAAAGAAATTACCTCTTTCTGCATCTCTTTCTTTGCGAACATCTGCAGCTCGTCGCCGAATATCTCCTGCGAATTGAGCACCTCTTGGTAATCCATTTCCTTAACAAAGCTATGATCCTCTATCCCATTTGCTTTTAGGAACTCCATGTAAGCTACTTGGAATGCTTGTCCAATACTTTGTGCTATAAATTGAGCCTCCTCACTTTCAAAAACGTGACATATCATCTTTGGAGTTCGATTGATTTTTGGTACTTCTTCCATTTCGTGCGGCACGAAACGTCGCCGTGCCATTAGCACTACTAGATCACCGATATCCGCTATGTATGAAATCGTACGTAACGCATGATCCATCATGATCTCCTTCAGATCGGTGTTAAGAACCATGATCTTCTCCGTTGAGATAAACAGATCTACCTCCGTGCTTGGCTGAGTATCACCATCCGGTGCCTGAATAAATACAACACACATATACATCCTTTTTAGAAAACTATTACATTATTACGGATTTCTGCATTTTATATATATGTATTTCACAGAATATACGTACCAGCGCCTATCATAAGGAAGCAGCATGTATGACAAAGTAGAGATAAACAAGTAATTAGTTATAAATATATACGTATAATATTAGTGTTTTAAACAACACAATACAACGCTTAACTGCTAGTAAAATAACGCTAGTAAAATAACGTAAATAAATGCAAGATAATGTAAACTGTATAAAGTTGAGCATAATCATTAACGGCGCTATCACAAACCTGAGAGTTTGAGAGTTAAAAGTCGCCTAACTTTGACGCAACATTTAACTTGCAAGAGACTCGTCACTATGATTTATGAAGAATGTGCATTATACGTAGGTAATAGGAGTTTTGTAACTGAAAAGTGCATTATGGGAAATTGCTGTGGGTTTTTGTGGCTAAATAAAATAAAATTCATAAAAAGGTTCAAGTTGTATGGTATCAAGATGAAATGGCCGTAAGAAGATTTGACCCTTATAGGTATTATATAAAATCAATAGAGGGATGAAACGGTCGAACGACTGCTCTTGTAAGAGTCAAAGGGCAGTCGATCGGATTTAAGCGAAGAGGGTTCACTGGGATGAAGGGCAATGAGGGCGGACCTTTATTTTTGTCACAGCCTCCTCCACCATGTGGTTCTTAAGGCGCTTACGCCGTTTACGTCCCCCTTCCTCTTCCACCTCCACCGACCCAAGAAACTGTAGTCTGAAAACGGTTGTGGGCCCCAAGCAGCCACTGATCGGGGCCAGTTTTGGCTGGGCCCCAAGCGCTTGTGACTCGGACTGGCCCCCACCAGAAGCGCTTCCTATAAGTTCTTCGCTCGAGTCGCACTCGTCCTCCTCTAGGCTTCCTTGCGAGGCAATGCTGCAGCGACCATACCCATGCTGCCCCCCATAGTTTAAGAGTGTTGCCTGCATCGGCACTGGCCCATCATCCTTCCGTTATGTACGCGCCAAACAAACAAACAAACAAAGGCTCTGCTAGTCACATTGCCACGCACCACCGACAGAACGAGAGGCAAAAGAGCCAATGTTCATGAGTTCTTGAGTTGCTATATCAACGGCTTTACTTTTCTCTTATGCACAGTGTCATGCTTGTGTCTTCTATCGTATGCCGGATCGAGTCATTCACACATATAAATGCATTAGTCCGGTAGCATACACTTCTGCACACGATGCGATCTTTATTATGCAATTTTGCTTTCGGACAAGCTCATGGTGTCTGGAAGCTGTGCAACGTGCAAGCATTATGTTATGTTACAAAAATGGTAAATTCAATGGACAAGCACACGCGGATTCGTTGCAATTGTAATTCAAGAACGTATTAATAGCGATGCTGCGTCTCTAGGTGTCTAGCAACTCAGAACTCGAAGCGGTAAGGCTTTGTTAATGCGATGAGCATTCAAGTTTTTTTTCAATCAATCGATTTATCTTATTTTGTCATCTTGAAAATGAATAATCAAAGAGAAATACAAGCAGTTGATCACACATAGAATTATTATTTTCCGTAATCATAATTAATTTCGATTCAAAGTATCTTTTCAAACAAATATAAAGATGCACGCATAAGTAAAGTTCTTTTGTTAGCGTTATTTAAAAGTATGATGTAAGCATGAGTTTTAATATGGTTTTATTAAAAAGCTATATCGATATAACGTAATTTAATTATATATTATAATCGCCAAAAAATGTTAACAGACTAGGAACGTCTTCATCCTTAATGTTCTGTCATTATTTACACTGCCTACATTAGAACATAGCTTAGCAACCTTGCAATTAAACAAATTATCATGCATACGCTATTCAAAGAATTAATTAATATTATAATTCCTGTAAATCTTAATATTATCATTTTTTAAACTAGAATATTTTCATAATAGATTTTCACAACGGATATTCCATGAAAATATAATTTCTATCTTGATTCCCGAATAGTATGCAACTAAAATATTCTTGCAGCGACAAAAAAAGAACTGTAATCTGGGTCTACTTAACTATATAAAATCTCATTTCATGCGACAATAATATATCATAAAAAAATATTTAGCAATCTATATTTTGAAAAATCAAATTGAATGAATGAATATGTATATAAATAATTACGCTCAATCTTGTAGGATACTGTCAGAATATCGTAGTATCATCGAGCTATCGATTCGATAATCATATCTCTTTAAAGCTTGAAGTTATGATGAATAATATTCTATGAAATTTCTTGTAATTTCCCTAAAATTGTCTCAAACAGAGTCATCTGTTACATTGCACCTAGATTGTTTCTCGCGTTCCCAGTTTTCTTCCTTTCTACTGATCAGTTGTATAATAATTTGCTGGATTTTTGTAGATAAATATCTCCCGCGAATATATGGATTTTTGTGCATAAAATTGATCAAGAATCTACAGGAAAGCGGACATAGCAAGCGGACAACAGATATATAAATTAAATATTCGCAAAGGAAAAAAACAAAGACTGACAGACATACAGAAATCACATCAAAGTTACACTGAGAAGATGACAGTGTTCGGTGGTCAGGTGGTGGTGGTGTTGGTGATGTGAGGAAGGGGGTCGCTACACTGAAACATTCAGGCCTCTTTGCACAACGGCCAATTTACAGTTATATTTAGATTAATTATTAGATAGGTAGACAGAATCAGCATTTAGATACTTCTATGAGGGAGAGTCATCTCAGACGACGACAAAAGCCTCTAATAAAAATTATTAATCAATTATTACAAGATAACAGAGACGAGAGGTCTATCTTATCTAAATGCTGACATTTGATTACTCATGAGCAGAACCTAAGAGTAGGAGGAAAGAATTTACTGTTTTATCAGCTTAATATTGACAGTTTCCTTAAAAGATTGATAAATATCGTAAACTAATTAAAAAAACTAATTAAGAAAGAAACATCGTCGCTTATTATTAATATACTAATAAAAATATGAACTATGTAAACAGAAATATGATAGGTATCTGTACTATTTACTAAAGAGAGTATTTTGATGAACTATTTATGATCCTTTGCAATATATTTGTCATACATCCATAGAATTGAGGTACAAACGAGTCTTAAAATACAATTTGAACAGTACTCTTTCCTACAGAAAACTCTCAGGTTTAACTTATTTACTTAAGATTTCAACATTTTAACCATTTGAGGTAAATTAATAGTTTCAAAATAATATATAATATTAAAATATTTTATACTTGGTAAAGAGACGCTAATCTGAAAATTCCTTGCAAATATTATAGATGTTATTTGCAATATTTTACAGAGATTATATTTCGTGACTGCACCAAGAAAAAAATTGCAATTTTGAAAATCCTCAAAAAGTTAAAAACTTTAACAATGAAATATACATTATTGCAGATGAGAATATTGCATTGTTGTTCACTACAATTTAAGTAGCAAATTAAAATAGTATAAAGCATTCAGAGCATGCTGCTAATTTCATTATTATTGTTCATAGTTTTCTAATAGTCCCTGAAACGATTTTATACTCTCTAATAGATTTTCTAATTTCGATTTTCGTTTTAATAGAACATTATTAAAAAATCAACAATTGAAACATTTAATCGACGAATGGACTCTAACTGTATTTGTTTTGATCTATATAATGTGTTTTCCAAACTTAGTGCTACTGATCTAAATATAACACAACATATCACGTGGATGCATTATCTAGCAAATAAATCGCGATATCTTCATTTAATTAATAATTACTGCTTTTAAGAACAAACATTCTAAGAAAATAATACATGTGGCTTTCAAATAAATTACATCATATTAATGATTACATTTAATGATTTACTCCATATTTGATTATATTGATTTTTTAATACTTTGC